GCACCGGTGGGATGTCCCTCCCCATTTCGTCGACGCTGACTTCTCTCGAATGGCCTCGGCTTGCACTCCTATGCTTCTTCTTCGTCAACTTGCGAATGCCACTAAACACTCCACCTTTGGAAGGACTAGAAGGACTGGCTTCTCCAGCACTCACTGAACCGCTCCTCTCCTTCTTTTTCGTAGGTGTAGTGAGGGTTCCATTTCTCGACTTTTTCGTGTCGAACTTTTCTTGCTCGTTCATTCCAGCACCAGGAGTAGCGGGAATGACGACATGCATGAACGAGTCCTTGGTAGTAGGCTCCAGATCCTGACGGCGTTCGGCGGCAGCCTTTTGATCTTTCAGAGCATGATCAGCTGCGAAAGCGCCAGCTCCAACTCCAAGGGATGTCGCCGCTGTTGCAGGTTTCTCCGTGAATTTGTAGGAAGCATTCTCTGATGAGAGCGGCGTCATCGGGGTCTGCCCACCCACGGCACGCGTGCTCTCGACGATGCTGCTTTCATCCTCCTTCAACTGATTAGGAGGCACAGCGGCAGTAGATGCTTTCCCCTCCATTTGCATAGGTGGTATAACCTCTACCTTGTACTCGTCGGGGTTTGCAGCCTTTTCGAGAGCGGCTTGCACATCCTCGTCAGGGGAAACAGACGATCCAACGAGAGGTTCGGTATTGGAAGAGAAAATAGGGGAGAGGGGTGCAGTTTCCTTCTCTTTAGCATTTGGGACTGGCGGCAATGGCGAATTCAAGCCTTCGTGCTCTCCGGTCGGGGTTGGGGCAGCATCTGCAGCCGCCGGATTTGAGGATGATGCTAAAAGAACGTAAGTATTATTACTATTTTCATACGCTTGCGTACTCACGAAGATATGCAGCGGCGGCACCAAGTGCACCAGCTGGTCCTACTTTGACGGATCGTGCTGCGAGTATAGTTCCTGCAAGCGTGACGAACGCGGCAGCAAACATTCTCCGTAAGTTCGACATTTCAGGAGTTTCTTGACGTGACTAAGCCCCCAATAGCAGCGTCTCTTCAACCAACCATGAAACCCACAGCAGCGGA